ATATTATTTATATAATATATAATTTCAAATTATTATTAATATATAATGTCAAATTATTTTCTCTATATCGATAAATAAAATTATTTATGCATATATATTGATTTTTTAATTTGTATGGACTTTTATAATGGACTTATTATAATAGGCAGTAGAATACAAATGTTTCAGAGTTCTGAAAGAAAAACAACATTTTTTCATAAAAAATAATATTAATATCTTTCTTTAATTCAAAACTTTTGTATATAGGATTATCGAATTTTTGCAAGTAAAGTATTTTAAACAATTACACATTAATAAAAAAATATTTTTTATTCAGTTTCTGCGTTAAATAATTTCTGTGTTTATTTACTGTTTATTCTTTTGTTTATTCTTTTTTACTTGATTCGTGCACCATTATCAGAAATGAATTCGATGCAAAGTTTTTTATTATTTATACAAAATACATTTTCGACAAATCAGTGTCCTCTAGTGACTTCCAACTGAAGATTGATAGCAAGTCTGTCACAATTGAATTGGTTGAATGTAAGTAGTTGAATTCGAAAATGGCAAATCGCACGGTAAAAGATGCTAAATCTATTCGCGGAACAAATCCACAATATTTGATTGAGAAGATTATCAGATCTCGGATATATGACTCTAAATACTGGAAAGAAGAATGTTTTGCTTTAACAGCCGAACTGTTGGTCGACAAGGCAATGGAGTTGAGGTTAGTAAGAGTAAAATATAACCTCTACAATGATTTCTTTTATCAATAATATTATTTTTATGTACTTAACGGATAAACTTACAGAAACAAAATGTTAATATGTGTAAGAAGTGTTTTTTCTAATTAATTACATTTTGTTCTTTTAGATTTCTAGGAGGAGTTTATGGCGGCAATGTGAAGCCTACTCCTTTTCTTTGCCTCATATTAAAAATGCTCCAAATACAACCTGAGAAGGACATCATAGTTGAATTTATAAAGAACGAAGAGTTTAAATATGTTCGGGCTTTGGGTGCACTGTATATGAGATTGACTGGTTCTTCCTTAGACTGTTATAAATATCTCGAACCATTATTCAATGACAACAGAAAGCTCAGAATTCAGAATAAACAGGGTGTATTCGAGCTCGTACACATGGATGAATTCATTGATAATCTTCTCAGAGATGAAAGGTGTTGTGATGTTATTTTACCAAGAATTCAAAAGAGGCACGTTTTAGAGGAAAATAATGAGTTAGGTATGTTAAGTATTTTCTATACATTAATGTTACTTTGATTCCTAATCATTTTTTTATTATATATTTATTTGTCTTATGTAGAAGCGAAGATATCAGCATTGGAAGATGATATGGATGATGGTATTGAATCATCAGAAGAAGAAGAAATTCCACCGATAAAGGAATTACCACGTAAAAGACCGGATGATCACGAACGGGATAGAGATCGTCACAGAGAAAGAGATAAAAGACATTCTCGAACAGAGAAAAAATCCGATAAGGAGAAGCAAAGATCGAGAAGCAGGGAAAGAGACAGGGATAGAGACAGGAGAGAGCGTAAACGCAGCAAATCGCCAAAATCTCATTCAACGTCGCACAAAGATAAAGACAGAGACAGAGATCGTCATAGAAGAGATGATAGAGAGAGGGAGAGAGAACGAGAAAGAGAAAGGGACCGTGATCGTAGAAGAGAACGCGACAGAATTAGACATTAAGATTAAGGTTAAAGTGCGATGATATGAAAAATCTTTTGGTCAAATTTTATATGAGAGATGAATTGGTAATATTTAACTTTTCTTATATCCTCTTATTAATGCTCATATATTTTTAGCGTCAGTATATGACAAGAATTCGGTATTAAAACTACAACGTGGAATTGCATCCGTTGTAACATATTCAAATATATGTACATTTTCACATTATTTGTATTATATTACAATTGCTTTATTAAATAACAAAATAGCGATATCGATTATATACCAATGCTTAATAATGGACGAATAATAACTATATTCCTGCCTTTTTTAGAACGTATATGTAATGAAGATGTTTTACTTTGGAATCCTTGATACTTCTCACACATTTTCGAAATTTGATCGACAAATATTTCTATCAATTTTACATATTATCTTTTCTATGTATTTTGTAAAAACAAAATACTTGGCAATGTTTAAAACGTAGGAGAGTTTAGAATGAATAATCTCTCTTCTTCTTTCTTTATCCACTTTAATAGCTTGCTCACTGCCTCAATGGCATCTGGTTTCGTGACCAGAGGTTCAAATGTTACATATAATTCAAAACCAGAAGCCACCTAGAAATTTTTTTTTTAATTAAAGAAAAAATCTCGCGTTCAAGATCATATAAATTTTTACTTACCCATGCTAACATTGTCTCCTTATCTAGCTGTTGAAATATAAGTTTCAAGGGTCGACTAGGAGAATGCAATCTGTGATGCAAACACTGATAAAGTCCCAATAATCTAAAAAAAATATATTTTTTTATCATATAGATGTTACATTTATTTAAATTAAACAAGGATTCTTAAACACAAAAACAATTGAAATTAGAAAGGCATGTAAGAAAATTAGAATATCTTAGATTATATTGAATTTTTATATTTGACTCTTATATGCCTTTTTTAATTTCAACCGTTTATTTAAAAAAAATCAATTTTTACCGTTCTATCTCATCATCCGTTGTGTAAGGTGATTGGAGCCCAGGACTCCAGAATTGCGCGGTGCTTTTACATTTGTATAAAACGTGTCGCATCTCGGGTAACCCAATGTCAGCAGTCGTTACCGTCGGTTTGTTCATGGACTCATTTATTGCTTCTAGACAATTTGTTCGCCGCAATTTTTCCACAATTTTCTATCAAACATTTAATATTAAATTGACATTCATATAAATGATTTCTCAATTTATTTAATCAATTTTATTTTCTGCAATAATTCTTACTTGTTTAGCTTCCGATAACACAAAAAATACATCCCTATCAACGGTAAGTAGCAATAAACATGCCTGGCAATCTTCTGCCAGATATGATACATGACCATGCATGTATCCATTAGAATCAAATTTCGGTAGACATATCGGTGTCCAGCTCTCAGCAGTTTTGAGCGACTCGGAACTGTCCACCAGATTTTGTATTATGTGTAGATCCATTGGATGCAGGAAAAATTTATTCATTCTAACTAGTGTAACTAACTGATTGTTAGCTAGAAGTATGGCAAATACTAAATTCTGAAAGACAAATTTCTCTTAATAAAACAACATTTGAATTCATTCCAATTTCACAAATTTTTTGCATATTCCATAAATGCTTTTATACCTTGATCTTAACACAAGTTTGAATGATGGTCTGTGTAATGGAATTTCTCATAGAAGGAAGTAAGGGTAAACATTTAATGGCTCCTAGAAAGAAAGCAGGCTCTCTGTCCATAAAATTCAATAAATGATCTATCAGTCTTTCGCTACCACTTAATAACCTTCGTAGATCAAAGTTTCTTCTTTGATCGTATACTCTATTTAACTGAGACTGTGTCAACACAGAGATTATCTGATTATATACATATCTGGAATTAAATATGTATAAGTATCAGATATTTTATTAAAAAGCAAGGATATCATTTTAAGTAACATGTACGTTAATTGTAAAGTGAGCTGAGATACGCTTTCCAAGGTTTTAGACACTGCTACTAAGATCAATGGACCCTTCACAACAAAAACAAAGTTCGTATCGCCAGCGTGTACCGATCTAATCATATCGCTCCCGGCTTGAACAAATGACACTAAAGCTTGCATGACTCCCATAACTGTGACTAGTTTGTCTTCTGAACTGTATCTAGAATATATCGGTTTCCCTGCCTGACTTAAAATAAAAATATGCTTTTTCTGTGCCAGCCACGCTTTGCAACGCAACGGGTCTCCATCTAGATTACTTTGGCCCAAACGATGTGCGACATCATCCTAAAATGTGACAATTCATCCGGTTTAATGTATAATATTGATATGCAACGCAAATTTATGAAAAAAATAGGCGAGTCCGTACAAAAAAAGCCTAACCATCTCTGCGTCGTCCAGAGAAAGGTTTTTCTCGGATTCTCCTGGATCGGCGGTGGTGGACGTCGTGGAATCGTCTTGCACAACGTCCTCTTGGATCTCAGAGATGGTGCTAGTAATACTCTCCTTCATCTGTCTGTCATCGTCGATGCTGCCGCTCATCTCCTGCTCGTACTCGTCGAAGCTGTCAGTGGTGACGAGCATCGTCTCCGTGGAGGCGCCGGGCTCAATCCCGGGCTCGGCTATGCCGCTATCAATCGATTCGACAACGATCGACTCTTTCGCGGCCATCTCTACAAACGAGAACGTCACAAACAAATCGCTATTCTGCGATTCTCGCTGGCGTTTGACATTTAACAGAGACAGACTGACGAAGATCGGCTGCTATTCCTTGCCATTCCTCGTTAATTCATCGCGGAACTGCTTAGTGCGCTGCTGCTTGTTTGTTTATGTGGAATTTGTTTACTGGCGCCTCTAAAACGTGCATGTTGAACTATGTAGCCACGAATATTTTCGGCGGATAACATATCAATAGTCTTCGACTTTGTTATATAGTTTTATAATTATAATTTGTTGTATGTATATTATTTAGTTCTAGTTCTATTATACGCTATAGATCGTATTCTAAAATAAAATAAAATATATATTATGAATATAAATAATTAAAAATTGGAATAATTAAATCTGAAAAAGATAGTGAAAGTATTAAAAATACATTAATATATTTTTATAAATATTAAATATATTAATAATTATTATTAATTATTAATTTTCAGAATATTCCCTTATCTTCGATTTCTCATTCGATGTGTTTTTTAATGAAACAAAAAAATCTAAAATTGAAGGCAAAGAGCTTTTTCTGAAAAAACATCATATCTTTAAGTTTAGTTAAGTTTAGTCTTTTACTAATTTTTACTTATTTTATTTTTTAATATTAAAAAATATATTAATATAATAAATAATAAAATAATACTATTATATTTTAGACCTAAAATAATAAATAATGGATATAATATATATCGACATTCTTCTCACGAAATTCCTGCAACTTGATAAAACGATTCTCGATACAAAAATCAGATGGCGCGCCGACGTGACATTGTTTTAAATCGCGCGCGAATTGCACCTGACACGAACATGAGACGATAGGACTTAGACAAGACGCGACAAGTGTTCGCCGGGTATCGACATAGTGTCTCGCGACGTTTGTTCTATTCGGAACTCATTGTGTAATAACGACGCAATTCATAGAATGGGTGTCACCGTGTAAGTAGTATTCGCGTCTCTAAACATTCACGTGATTCTTCGTCACACGATCAATCACAAAAGAGAAATGCATGCGTCGCGTCTCTCCGGCAGACGCGCAGAGGTTAGGTTAGGTTATGTCGCATGCCGCTGCGGGATAAATGGTAATCGACAACACTCGTCTGATTGTGAGTCTGTAGCAGTGAAAGAATAATTTACATATGCTGTTGACAGGTTGCAACAGTATCCGATGATCGAGAACCGGACCGGACCGCAGACCATCGAGTTCCTGACGAAGAGGGTCGTCGCTCTCGGCGCGGTGCAGGTGGGGCAGTTCCTGGTGGATTGCGAGACATACATGTCGGTGCCGCAGCTTGGTAAGTGCGTTTTCTGTACGCTAATTTATGTCCGCAAGTTTGGCGGATTCGAAACTTTCACGTTCAGGTTTTATGTTCAAGTTCCGGTTGTTGCTCTAGCTAGTACGTGACTGTTGATACAGATGGCCGTTGCTTGGCCCTTTAAAGATGTCTTATTTGTTATTTAGTATTGTTATTTGTGCAATTTTTGTTAATCCTTTGAATATTGCGCGTTATTAGGGCCATTTCATACAAATTTGCATAGCCGCATAACCATATGCATAAAGAAAAATATCCAATTACATTTCTGTCATAAAGACAAACGTATGATTGGATGATTTTCTTTATGCATATGTGACTTTTCTACAAGTGATTTTTTTAAACCTGCGGCATACGATGTATATTTTCTTGTTTACATTTTAGTAAAGTATTAGAAATAATAAATAATAAATAAAATTCTGTGTTCTGTGTGGTGCAATTTCAGTAATTTTCTTTAAAAAACACAAGAAATCCAGCGGGAAAAAAACATCTTGTGCCACAGGCTTTAGACATGTTATTTGCAGTGACTTGCTTATTTATTTTACATTGAATGATCTACGTTCAACAGAATGTTTATTTTCTTTTCGCGTTGAAGGAAAGAGACAAGATGTGTGAACTATGCGCAAGAAGTTTAGCTAAAAAAGAACAAATCTTTTAAGTATAGAAAGTGTATACTAGTTGAGCTATAAAATATAAAAAGTAGACTTTATAAAGTTTTTCGCAACAGAGTTATTCGTACAATGAACTTGCTTTCGTAAAAGTACGTGCTCTCGCAAAAAAATAAAATCGATGCTTTCAATCTTGCTTTTAACTTTGAGAAATCGGACACATAAATTTTATTCGATACCTTTAAAAATCGATATCGTGTCAGTTTTCAAATTGTTGAACTTTTAGAAGACATAAAATAAAACAGAAAATATATAAGACTCAAAACGATAAAAAAATAATAATGAACTTATTCGAATTATAAAATTATTAAACGATATTTAAAAAAAAAACAATTTAAATAATTTTCTCTTTTTCTTATTTACTCTAGCTATGCAAATATTGATTTTCGCATACAATTTAACGATATTTTTAAAAATACTTTAGATGTATAAAACTCTTAAAATTTTCACAGAAAAACTTTTCCACTTTCAAAGGTTCCACCTTCAAATTTATTTAATCTTTTGTAGATTTTGAATCACACTCTTTAAATATTGTTTCAAGAATTTATGAGATTCAGGCAACGAATTAATAAAAACACTTGTTTTGTTCTCATAATTTTCTTTGACGTTTATACATTTGTATATAGGTTTCTATGCAAACACGCAAGTGTTGGTTCCGCCAGAAGTGTTATTAGCGATTGTATATATTCGATACGTCATTTATTATTTCTAGAGAGGTGTAAACGCAAACGCTAACAAAAATCACTTAAGTACAATATTTATACGTAACATAAATACACGGTATTGCCGAGGATGTTGTATCTATCCTCCTAAAATAAATCGTCGTATCGGCAAGATCACGTTTGTGCTATCTCATATTATTTTAATTAACGAACGTAATGGCCAGCCTCTGAAATGAATCAAAGAATTCTCGTTACTTGGTGTTTTCGTTACATCAAAGAGAAAGCGTAGGAGAATCGATATTTTCTATATTCGATGATAGAATTCGAGTTCGTATTCGCGAGAAAGCGACGCACAGTCTTGTCTCACTTCTTGCACAGAAATCATTCTTATATATTTTATACAATATTATATTCCATCGCATTATACAAGAGTTGATTTTTCTGTTGCATCGCATTGAAGATGCAACATTTATAGAGAGTATAATGTCTAGAGAGTATAATCTAAATGTTAACTCTATGAAGGTACAAATACACCAGCTATACATTCCTAGGCATCATTACAAAAATATTAAATCTAACAAGCGAAGCTAAACGTGGCTCGTTATAGACAAGATCGGTGTATATGCATATACATTTATTTCTTATTTATTCTGTTCTCTTTTCTCTTTCTCTTTCTCTTTTTCTCTTTCTCTTTTTCTCTTTCTTTTTCTTCATTGAAAATACGTCTTCATAATTTTAATATCTGTGATGATATAATATAAGATTTAATCATCTTAGCGACGGCCAGCGCTAATATCCATTTGAACTATTTATTGTCGATAAATTGTATAATGAATTTATTGTCATTAAGTAGAATTATAACGTGATTCTCTCCGTAAAGCTTTTTCATCACGTCCAGATAATAGTAACATATGTATATAAATTCGAATTCCTAGATTGAATCCCTATTTGCTGTAATCTGATTGCACGCGCTAAGTATGCATTTTTAATTTGCTAATGCAGATTAATATTTCAATATTTCAATCTTGAGTTATAGTCTTTGCCAACCTCTAATGTTTGCCATTTTTGTTTCGCATAAAAGGGGAATAAAGGGATAAATCTACATGCATGGCGTACATCTAAAAGCTATTATCGTCACCCGCAATTACACACCACTCATTCGCGAGTTTTCTTGCACACGAACACATACATATTCACGTACGCGATATACAGACATTTTATCCGGGACCCTAAACATGCAGTAATGCGAAATCTTGATCCTGAATTTCACTATTACCGCTACATGTTACAATAAATTTTCAATTCACGAGAGTGCACAGTGCAGATTTTTGTTTTATATAGTTTAATATACCTACAAGGGAAAGGAGAGATTTTCTTTTTTTTTTTTTCTTACATGGAAGATCTGACGCAAGGTGGTCTGTGATTATATAATATGCCACTCGGCAAATAGTAAAGCTCGCTTATTCGGCGCGGTATACTAAAAACGAGATAATCTTATCGAGAACTTTTTTATGATTTACGTAAAATTCGGAAGTTAATCGTATATCTTATGTACACTCGTTTCACGAGCATTGCACCGCGTTAAAACTAATTGTAGACATTACCCAATACTGTATCCAAGCCCTTGAGCATAAAATATACAATGCTTTGAAAATATATATACCACTGTAAAATGATTTTCACTAGCTTAAACATTTATTATAAATGTGTTACTATAATTCGACAAATTATAATCTCATATTTTAGATAATTGATTATTTCTTATAGCAAAAATATAATTTGATTACCAACTCTTACACTTAATATAAAAAATGAAAAATAATCATTAAAATTTTTTCACAATAAAGTATTAATTAGGATATGCTGGTATATATTTTTTCAAGACACTTATGTAATATATTTAGCAAGATATTTTTGTTGATAGGAAGGTGCGTGTACTCGCTTCTTTGTAGACAGTAATGCCGATACCAAAATTTTATTATTTCTCTTATACGTGATATGTCGTTTTTCGAATTTACGATTTCGATGTTGGCAACATTATTTTCCTCGCGTACCGCATACGTGTAGTTTATATATATAAAAAATGGAATGTATTTTTTACGAATCAATATAGTTTTGCGCAAACGCAGATTTTTCTCTCCCCCGCATCGTATCGATCGATCACTGTCTACAGAAACACGCGGAAATATTTAAGTACAGGGATTTAATGTAATGTAATGCTTCCGCGACTTTCATACACTTCGTTACGTATAGGATATGGCAGGGATATGACTCACGGTTTCGATAGATAATTACAGATGTGATAGTTTCTGTTTGCGCGATCCAAAAATGCGACAAAAAATTTCCTCTTCATATCGTGTTTGTCTCTCAAATCAAATTTGTTATATTACGTTCGGCATTTTGTTTCGTTGATATTATATAATTCGATAGAATAGATATTTTAAGGAAATTTTTTTCCCGCGTGGATTATCACAGATATACAAGCTGTGATCCGCAAAGTGTAGTCAACTTCTAACAAATACTTCGTCATGTGTATCGCTCTCTCTCTCTCTCTCTCTCTCTCTCTCTCTCTCTCTCTCTCTCTCTCAACATTATTCTACAAACTATATAAAAATATAAAATACGTACATCATTATGGAAACTTTCGTCTAATCGCGACTCCGCCATTCGAATGGCTACATTTTTGAGAAATGCAGGAAATCGTTGAAAGCAGAAGACTTAGATAAATAATCAAGATTAGTTATATAGATGAGGGACTCACCCTCGATCCCGCAGATATTTAGTGTTAGGTATAGCTGCTTTCAATGTTACATATGCATTAATAGTACATATGCATTAATATTTTCATAAAGCTATAATAGTATCGAATTTCGCTCTACCGGCTTCGCGAAATTAGTAATTTGTGGTATTGTCGGGAATTTGTTTATCGACTATATTGCATCGTATCGTCACTAATTGCGTAAGTTTCACGAATACGACAGAGATATATGTATATAATATACAATAATCAATATACACAATACGCATCTTATGAAACATATGTAGATATATCTACAAATCGATATTGTCACAGTTAAGTCAATGATGCCTGTGCTATGCAACGAGGCCTCGATATTCTGAAGTTAGCAAAAGGTATTTTGCTTACGTCCGCAAAAGTATACTCTATATATTGTCATAAACTTGTTTAATAACGCGAATGCCCTGCAGCACATTAGCTGTAAAAACATCATTTTTAGCGTTGGTAATTATTTTTTATCTTTTCTCTCGAGGCTTATCGCGATATTCTCGAAAGAAATGGTGCTCGAACACCATTAACGGCTGAAAATATAGCTGCAGAAATTATTGCAACTTATTGCATATACTGATTATTTTACAGAAAGACTAGCTTGGCAGTCTACGAGCAGTCTATCGAGCCTATTCTAAGGGCTCCGTTAATTTTAAATTGTTTACTTGTGGTATACACATTTTTTTCGCATAAAGTATTGTCTTTCTTCCTTGGAAAGTACGGTATGATAGCATTGCCTCTTGATTTGAATAAGCTTTGAATATTAAAAACTTATTAAAGAATATAATTCAATCCGAAAAAACCGGAAATTAATATAAAGTTGCAGATAATACGATAAGTATAAAATAGTTTACACGGTGCGATTTT